AAAAAGGGAAAATAGCTTATTACAAGTACAATTAAAGGAAGTTTGTCAACATAATCAGTGATTCCCAGAAAAAGCAAAATAACTTCTGATTGCTGGTATTATATTTAAGAATTTGACAAATTATTTTAAATTGGGCATCTATCAAAACAGTTTATCGCTTTAAGTAAGAATTCTTCAATCAGTTGAAAAACTATTTTAAAGTAACTAAAACACATTAAAACACCATCCCTTAAGAAGTGAAATCTTTCATTTTTAGAATTGGGAAGGAAAGAAAGCATTTATTATTTTTTATATATTAAAAATAATGTATTTTCATTTACCAGTATTATAGGTTAAAAGTATATTTGCAGCCTTGCTTTAAACATACATACAATTTTTATATTTTTGTTTCTGGATTTATGTTCTGCTGCCTCTCTATAACTGTTGGATTTTATTTGAGTTAAATTACCATCTGCTTTGATGCAAAAATCAGTGTTATAATTATTTTCCTGATTTAAATACTAATTTGTTTGATCTAAAAGAGCAAAGCAGATTGTGAACATTTATTTTTTGTTCAGTTTTAATTTAAGGACAAATTTATCAACATGTGCAAAATTCACTCACGTGAGTAGCTGAAACTCAAGTGAGTAGTCCCATTAAAATCAATGGGACTACTCACTTGAATAAGAATTACTCACCTGAGTAACGGTCTGTTGCTAATTTTGCAACCATAAAATATGTGCATTCAAATGCTGCAAATTTTAAAGTGGATTTGATTTAATTAAGAGGGAATGCGATTCAGACCTTAGGTTTCAAAGTACTTTCAGTTACAAGTATTAAAATAAATGCTTCTGGGAAACTCTGATAAAACTTTCTAACACACAGCAAAAAGGAGAAATAGGCACACCACTATGAAACTTCAAAACACTGATGAAATTAGCTTGCTTTACCAATATTTTATGATTTTAAAAATACTATAAAATATAAAATATATTGAGAGTAATACAATTTTGAAAACTGAAAAGCAGATTGGAATCCATGATTTTATGCATTTGCAGTGTGGTTGTTATAGCAGGTGATGTCACATCTAAACTGCAATTTTAACCTACAAACAAATCTAAGATCCTACAAAGTCAATCAAAAAGCCACCTGAACCTTTAAATCTAGTAATCAAGTCATGTTTAAGATTTGCAAACAACTGAAGGTACAGTATACAATATAAAAGAGATCAATAAAGAAATTTAGAACCTACCAATACTGGTAGCGGGTGTCATGCACAAAACTGACCCTGCATGTCATGCAATGATAGGTGGAAAAAGTGAATAAAGGGAAAAAACAGGTTAGCTGTTTAGAGTTAACATTCAAACTGAGATTCAAGCATAACCAAGGATAAGTAGAAGTTAGCTGAACACAATCTTAAGGTCATTCATAGTTTTTGTGTTACAAGAGTGACGTTAAATAATTTTATACTAAAATATTATTACAGTATACCAATACATATTTTGTACATCTGTGTGTATATTTAAGATGGACCAGATTTCATAAACATCTTTCATTTATTTTTTGCAGAAATAAGAATTTTTAAAAAAATTCTTGATTGAATATGGGATTATCTAATGGCTGCTTAAATCCATTCAACAATTCAGACAGCATTACGTTAGCTACACAGATTAATGTTTATTAATTTTGCTCATACACAGCAGAGGAAAACATTTAATTCAATAGAAATTCTCTTATTATTCAATGGCGATTTTGTTAAATCTACGTTTAAATATGAACATACACATTTTTAATAACAAATTACTAATGTTATTTTTATCAACAAAAATGCTAAAATGGCAGCACTGGAAACGGAACCAATGCAGCATGGCTAGTGACTGCAACATTCCACATGATGTCCTGCCAATGTGCCTCAAAAGTACTCTGGGTGGGGGTGGGGAGGCCTCTGTACAGCTGAGTTCAGTTTTTGTGCTCATTCAGCTGTTATCCTTTCTGCTAAAGCGAATGAAAAAGGATAGGGGTTTTTAGGATGGTGAGTACAGTGCGTAGTGGGGAGAAGGTGGAGGGTAGAGGAAGAGGAACAAAGTGGCATGTACATAACACATTATGCTACTACTACATATTCAGCACATAAAATAGATTTAAATTTGCAGAACTCCTGTTTGGTGATGTTAACAACCTTTTATATATTTATTTATTTAACAGCAAAAATAACTATGAATGACCTTATCATGAAGAATAACCCTCACACACTTTCCCCTCTACCAGTGGTCATAAAAGTTCTAATAAACAGCATTTGAAGGAAAACACTACCCTCTTGCTTTTCAGATCATAAATAACCATTCACCAAACAATAAAAAGTGCGGATGAAGTAGTCATACTGATTTAGTGTGTGTTTTGTATTAAAAGAGAACTACAGTGCAAAAAAATCTAAGATAAGCAGTGCTATGAAGCCCCAAACCATTAATTAGGAAGTCATTGGTTATAAAAGGCAGAGAAATTATATAAAACAACGTATCAGTTTTCCATATATTTTATAAGCAAAACCTGGTTCTAACTGTAACATTTCTACTGAACACATAGGACGTATTTAAAATTGATACCAGTTCAGGAAATATTAGTTTACCATTTTAAACCAAAGAATTAATTGCATGCACAGTTCTTCATAGGGTGTGCAATATTTATAGCCATAGCCCCACATGGGAAGGTGTAGATGTACTTAGAGCCAAGTTTCAGAACACACAGTTCCTCCTGGACTCCCTGAGAGTGCAACAACTGTAGGAGCAACATGCACTGTCTTCTATGAAAGGCCCATTCTACCGGCCAGTGGAAAGGGTGTGCACCATAGCTCACGTAGGGTGACCAGATGCCCTGATTTTATGGGGACAGTCACGATTTTTGTGACTTTTTCCTATATAGGCTCCTATTACCCCCCACCTCCTGTCCCGATTTTTCACACTTGCTGTCTGGTCACCCTAAGCTCACGTCCTCATCCCCCACCCCTCTTTCCAGATACTAGTGATGCCAGACCTTCTGAATTCTCCTGCTCACTATGAGAACGTCTCCCATTGTGCCCTGGCTCATGTGCTGGGTCTCCTGGAGATGAGAGGCTCTTTGCACCTTTTCTCTTTTTTGTGCACCTGTGCTGGGACTGGATGACAATCTGGCCCCTTAAGAGTTTGGCAAAAAGGCCCACATCCTTTTACATCATGAATTTATAATAAACAAACTGTCACTCAATTCTGAGCTAATTTTGTACTGGTGGTTATGATGATTCCAGGGTTAACCAAAAATGTAAATTGAAGAGAAACAGCACATGGAATAAAGTACTTGAGGAAAGATAAGCATCTAAGTTTGGAAAATATCTGAGTGCTATCTTATTGAAGTATTTTCAAACTAGCTTATTTTTCAGGATTATTTTAATGCATTTTACTGTAATTGTATACAATAGTGATAAGCTCTGAAAGGCAGTGCCTATGAGGAGGAACAATGCACACCCCACCACAAGTTCTTATGGCTGTGATGTGAAGTACATTTGCAGGGGGACTTGGACATTTGTAAGCACTGGATGCTCTTTCATTTCTCAAATTCCTTCAAACCATCCCACGGATGTTAGCATATTTTCCTGCACATTTCCATTATAGTCACAAGTTACAAAATGGTCATGGGATCTCAATGAAAATTACACAAGATTTTGGGATATTTTCAAAATTAAAGTGAGTCAATATGTAAAACAAGTGCATAAAATAAATGTTTAGAACATATTTTGACAAATATAGGGCCAAATGCTGAGATCTTTACTAAGTTTTTACATATTTCTTATTCAGGCAAACTTTACTGAGTTCATATGATTTTTGTTTTTATTTTTAAAAGATTATTGTAAAGCTATGTAATAAGAAATTACAGCAGCTTGAATTCTTTCACTTGTTTAATTCATACTATTATTAGATGGTTAAATAATATGATAAAAGATAAGCAAATATATTCGAAAATAGAAAATATATTTACTACAGAAAAGTGTTTTAAATCAGCCTAAAAATTCATGGTTGATATACATACTAATAATGAAACTGCACTCTTTAAGCACTATTCGGGGCATTTACTTTTAGATACTTCTCTTTTTGAATAATATAGAGGATTTTATTGCAAGTTCACTTCATTCATAAATCATACATTTAAGTAGAATATTCTCCCTTCTTTCACAGTGTTAAAAGAAAGCCACACGTATGAGCTCAAGATGTTAGGTCTGATGGGGTTGTAGATTTTTCCAAATGACATGGTCTACAGCTCTGAACAACAATGGAATATTCATGTTACTAAAATTCCACTGTAGTTAAATCACTTATATTAAGAATTAAAACACCAGCTATTAACTGCAAAATCTGGGGAGAGTTTTGGATTATAAAATATTCCATTATGAAGACAACGAAACCAGTTTCCCACGTTAAACAGTTCTATGCAGACGGGGACTATTTTATCCCCATAGTGCATTTGTGCAGGAATTAACTATAATTTGGCTGCTAGCACTGCTGGTCTAGAGGGCAAGGGTACTGTGTAGCAGGAGTATGTCTGGCTGCAGAACTGTAATGGTGGCAGTACAAAATACACCAGAAGAACAGGGATAGATATTACCAATACTTTTCACACTTCCCATCGTATCACAGAAACATTATGCCTTTTCCAACAAGTTAATGACACTCCTCCTCCCCACCACCAAACACAGTTCTGGTTGATGGACCCAACATGCAACCCACTTAATATAGATATAAAGTACTCTGACATATGCAAAATAAGGACAATAACAGAAAATACTAAAAGTTAGTTAATGACACGATAAAATTACCTCCTGAATCCTAATATTCTGCAGAAGGAATTAAAATAGTGTATTAAAATATTTGTGCATACTTGTCATGAATGTATAGAGAATGGATTACACATTTAAAAGTATATTCAATGTGATAAGCACTGTCTTATGGGGAGAATGCTTAAATAGGATTCTGTTTAGTGCAAATACAACATACCTGTTGGGATAAATGCCGCATGTTGTTGCAACTGTGCATTGGCAAGAGCCTGTTGATAGTGCAAGACACTGGGATTAAAAATGGCACTGGCACCATTACTTTTTTCAAGTGCTTGTCTCTTTGGTAAAGGGTGAAGAACGCCAGGAGGAAAGGCCTGTAAAAAAAGGAGAATTTAATTAAATTTGCAGATTTTTCAAAATATATACATATTTTCTAATATATATGAATAAAATATTGTAATATACTTTTTTAAAAAGCAGTTAAAGATGCCTTGCCATGCACCTTAACTCAAATAATAGCAATGTAAAATGAGTGAAATTTTGTTGTTGATCGCAAAAGCATGGTACTATTAACATAAAACTGTAGCACCACAACTACTGAAAAGGAAGGCCTTTAAAGCAACAAAAGTGGCATTTCCTTTAAATTTGGGCGTAAAATATTCTAGGAAGAAAAAACCACTTGTGTTTCATTACCAAGTATTCTTTCTTAGTTATTAAATACAGTGAGGGATTATAGTATTTTCAATTACAAAAGCAGTTATATCTAATTTTAACTTCTATGAAAAGGTATTTTAAAATGAAATCATGTTAGGAAAAAAACTAAATTGTTTGCATTTATTGCATATGAGTATGAGATGGATAAATATAATACTGAATTTTTTCTAAATTAATAATATATGATAGTTTTCAGTTGATGTTAAAAAAAGCAATACAAATTTCATTAGTTGCTTTTCTGAAAAGCTACATGCAAAGCAAAAGGTGAAAGGTCAAAGTACCAGGTCTACAGTTGCTTCGAGAGGCCGCTTCATTGCTTTGGCAGTCGACTGAGTCTTTTAATAACAGGCAGCGAGCACATGATGGCAGTGGGCCAATGGGATTCAAGCGAATTAACATACAGGTAAACAGCAAGCAGAGGTGCATCATGGGAACGGCATTGCATTGTGGATAGGTGAGAAGGAAAAAAATATTCTGAATGCAGTATACAACATACAAAACACTAGGCATGCACAACAACAAAAATGTTTTCTAAAGAAATGAATATTACACCTTGAATTAGTACTGAAGCAAAAATGCATCTACTATACCTTAGTTAAAAGCATATAAGAGAGTAAAATATAGATGTTTGAAATTTAGGAAAGTTAATTAAAACAGCAGCTTGCAGACACCATTAAGCATATTATAACACTTCACAGAAACATATCGGTTTTCAGGATTTTCTTACAAGAATTTCTGATAAGTTAGTTATGTCAAGTTAAAAAGCATAAAATAAATGTTCAACACTAACAATTAAAATATAAAGCACTAATGAGAGTTTTAATGCTTCAATAGAATTACTCACGTGTATGTTTGCTGGATCAGGGCCTTAGTTAATAAAATGTACATTTCAATAGACTTTGGGGTCAAAATATAAACAGTTTTCTTATTTCCAATATATAACAAATTAATGTTATGTCTAATCACTAACTTATCAGTTTAATATTTTTTACTATAGCTGGGACAGTAACTTGGATTATCCTTTTTAACTTATCACATTACACTGAGAAAAAGCCCTACATTTTTAAACAAATATTTTCTCAGATGTCATTCAGGAAAATCTATTCTAACTTTAGGAATAGGTAATAGAAAACTATTATTTGTCAATAAGAGCATGTAATTTATGGTTAGAACAGGAATCACGGTGCATTGTTTAAAAATATTTAAATGTAAAACAATATTTAACATGAGCATAGTTTTATTGTCTATATTTGCATTAAGAGATAAAACATGAGGGCTAATTTGACTACATTCCAGCAGAAAAATTTAGTTGATCTTTTTCATCTATAACTCTTTTTTAATGGGAATTTTAAGAGAGTTTAATGAAAACATATGGAAAGGAGGGTTTCCTCATGAATCAGAAATCTGTTTTTTGCACTCACAATAGGTAGTGCCTCAAAGTCCATAGGACAAATTAATATTCAGACTGTTTCTATCCTTAGCTTCAGATGTATAAAAGTAGAACAATAATTAAAAAGGGAGGACAAGGTACTGAGAGCACCATGTCTAAGACAACTTAGGGTCACAGAACTTAGGCCAATGACAACATGAACATTTTGCAGGATAGCCCTTGCTTCACAATCCATCATCTTTCACAATCCATATTTCTGTCTCTCCAATTATCACCTTGTATCTTTCCTTATATCTTTGCATCCAAAGTCCTTAAGCACGTCCTCTATTCCTGAAGTCTCGACGTCTTCTCCTCTAGCTTCTTCCTAGATTCTATACCCTCCACTCTATGAGATCTGCTCTATCAAGGTCATTAATGATCAGGAAAGGAGGGTCCAGTGATCAGAGAACTAGTCTGGGCTGTGGGAGACCCAGGTTCAATATGATCTACCACAAACTTCCTTTGTGACCTTGGGCAAGTCACTTAGGGCTCATCTACATGCTGCAGCAGTCCTCACCGGTGGGGTGTAAGTGGATGAGATCTGTGTTTTGGAAGATGATAGTAATGGGTTGAGCACCCTCAACGCCCATTTAGTTAAAGAGGAGTTTACAGCGTTCATCACCTTCCATAATTGAATCCAGCCATAATATTTCAAACTCATATAGTTTTTCGTCCATAGTGATCTCAGAATACTGTGAAAAGATGGATGGGCGTTGTTAGATATTTTACCGAAGGGAGAGAGGAGGGAGTGATCAGCTTTTTTCAAAGATAGCAGGTCAAGGTGGGTGAAAATAAACAGAAAACCCTTAGATCTGGCCTATCTTACTCTTGTACATATATGGCCCCCATTACTATAGTATATTTTTTATCTATACTATACTATATCTGAGTGCCTCACAAATTTGTCAACATATTTATCCTCACAACTGTGCTGTGAGGTAAGGAAGTGCTATTATCCCAGTTTTACAGTTGGGGAGGCAAAGCAGAGAAAGACTAAGAGTTCATCTGCATGGTGTGTTAGTCCTCACCAGTGGGGTGTAAATTCTAGTCTGCACCAGCACGTCATGCACTAACTGGCCTGTGTGGAGCCTGCTGGTGGGCACTAAACGTTCCCTAGTGCGTGTTAATGTAGTACCATTTGAAACGGGACTGTGTTAACACACACCAAGGAACTTTTAGCGTGCACAAACAGTGTAATGATTGTATTAATGGATCACACTGTCTTCAAATTCACTTCACAAAGCACAATAATACCAAAACACTGGTTTTCAGCTATAAATGGTCCGGGCTGTGGTTATTTCACAGACTGCCCATCTCCTTGCTTCTACCTCAAAAGCTGAGATCAGCTAAGGCAGGGGTGGGCAAACTACGATCCACGGGCCACAACCGGCCCTCCAGCCAATTTAATCCGGCCCTCGAGCTCCCGCTGGGGAGCGGGGTCTGGGGCTTGCCCTGCTCCCGTGCTCCAGCCAGGAACGGGGTAGGAGGCTGCTCCGCGCGCATGCTGAGGCTCCTGGAAGCAGCAGCATGTTTCCCCTCTGGCTCCTACGTTTAGGATCAGCCAGGGGGCTCTGTGTGCTGTCCCCGCCCCAAGCGCCAACCCTCAGCTCCCATTGGCCGGGAATTGCGGCTAATGGGAATTGCGGCTAATGGGAGCTGCAGCGGCGCCTGTGGACAGGGCAGTGCACAGAGCTGCCTGGCCACACCTCTGCATAGAAGCTGGAGTGGGGACATGCCACTGCTTCCCGTGCCCCAACCTCCTGACCCAGCCCTGATCCCCTCCCGCACTCCAACCTCCTGCCCCAGCCAGGAGCCCCCTCCCGTACCCTGAACTCCTCATTTCTGGCTCCTCCCCTGAGCCCGTACCCCCAGCCAGAGCCCTCGCCCCCCCCGAGCCCCCTCCTACATCCCAAATCTCTCATCCCCAGCCCCACCCCAGAGCCCTCACCTCCAACCCTCCCCTCCCGCACTCCAACCCCCAGCCAGGAGCCCCCTCCTGCACCCTGAACTCCTCATTTCTGGCCCCCTCCAGAGCCCACACCCCCAGCCAGAGCCATCACCCCCTCCTGAACCCCAACCCCAATTTCGTGAGCATTCAAGGCCCACCATACAATTTCCATACCCAGATGTGGCCCTCGGGCCAAAAAGTTTGCCCACCCCTGAGCTAAGGCATTTGAGGAAAAGTTACTAGGTTTAAATGTCGGGGGCTAGAGGTAGGGTATTCCTTAAGGAGTCTTGAACTCTGGAATTCACTGACCCCCCTTGGTCTAGCTAGGATTCTTTCCTGGAGGCACAGCACCGAAGATGCACCCTGAGGGAGCGGGGACAAAGGTGACTTTATCTCACCTTAACTCTATTTTATGGTGGCCCTAGAGTAGTGGTCACCAACTGGTCGATCAAGTTCGACTGGTCGATTCTGGGGACTCTCACAGTCAATCACGATCTCCGGCGGTGCTGCTGGACTGCCACTAAGGCAGGTTCCCTGCCTGCCACGGCCCCACGCAGCTCCCGGAAGTGGCCAGCATGGCCCTGTGGAGGCAGGGAGGAGAAGGGCGGGCAGGTGAAAGTGAGTGACGGTGGGGGAGAGCGAGTGACGGGGGGCAGGGAGTGGGTGGAGTGAGCAGGGCAGGGCCTCGGGGAAGGGGCAGGGTAGATCCTGGGTTGCCCTTAAATTCAAAAAGTGATCTTAGGCATAAAAAGGTTGGAGACCACTGCCCTAGGGCTACTTTTATGCTGCTAAATAGCTCACACAAGCTAAGATTCTTTGTAGCAGTGTCTGCTCCTGGGACTTCCTTCCTGTCCCAGGCATGTCCTCAGTCCTGGGGCTCATGAAGGGGCCTACACAGGGTTTCACCTATAACACAGTACGATTTTTTGGCTCTCGAGGACAGCGTTATATCGAGGTAGAGGTGTATATTTTATCAGCAACCACTTTTTCCCATACACTCACATATTATTTGTCTCAATGGAGAATTGATCCCATTTATTTATTTTGAACCATGGTTTCCCTTTGTTTTGGGTTTGCATTAAATAAAAATAAATGGGATGAAAAAAAGCTTATTTTGTCTACTCTTGGGAGTTTAAATATCTAATTAAAGGCCATCTATAACATTTTCCATAGGAATAATACACCATCATGTGGCTTTCAGCCTTCTTCTCCTTTGGTGGTATAATGTTAGTAATTCAAAATTGTGTTTCAAAAGACTCTTCCTCTTGATCTCTGTCTTGAATGTGGCTTATTTCAATAAAAGGAGGCATATCTTAGAATTAGTTTGGCTCAGAAAAATACGTTGTTTATGTTTTTATTAGGGCTGTCAAGCAATTAAAAAAATTAATCGCGATTAATCGCACTACTAAACAATAACAGAATACCATTTATTTAAATATTTTTGGATGTTTTCTACATTTTCAAATACATTGATTTCAGTTACAACACAGAATACAAAGTGTACAGTGCTCACTTTATATTTATTTTTGATTACAAGTATTTGCACTGTAAGAAAACAAAAGAAATAGTATTTTTCAATTCACCTAATACAAGTACTGTAGTGCAATCTCTTTATCATGAAAGTTGAACTTACAAATGTAGAATTATGTGCAAAAAACCGTGCATTCAAAAATAAAACAATGTAAAATTTTAGACCCTGCAAGTCCCCTCAGTCCTACTCCTTATTCAGCCAATTGCTCAGACAAACAAATTTGTTTACATTTGCAGGAGATAACGCTGCCTGCTTCTCGTTTACAATGTCACCTGAAAGTGAGAACAGGCATTCTCATGGTACTGTTGTAGCTGGTGGCGCAAGATATTTACGTGCCAGATATGCTAAAGATTCATATGTCCCTTCATGCTTCAACCACCATTCCAGGGAACATGGGTCCATGTTGATGACTGGTTCTGCTCGATAACAATCCAAAGCAGCGCGGACTGACTCATGTTCATTTTCATTTTCTGAGTCAGATGCCACCAGAAGAAGGTTGATTTCCTTTTTTTGTGATTTGGGTTTTGTAGTTTCCGCATTGGAGAGTTGCTCTTTTAAGACTTCTGAAAGCATGCTCCACACCTCGTCCCTCTCAGATTTTGGAAGGCACTTCAGATTCTTAAACCTTGGGTTGAGTGCTGTAGCTATCTTTAGAAATCTCACATTGGTACCTTCTTTGCGTTTTGTGAAATCTGCAGTGAAAGTGTTCTTAAAATGAACAACATGCGCTGGGTCATCATCCGAGACTGTTATAACATGAAACATATAGAAGAATGCGGGTAAAACAGAGCAGGGGACATACAATTCTCCCCCAAGGAGTTCAGTCACAAAAAAATAACGCGTTAATTGAATTTAACGAGTGTCATCAGTATGGAAGCATGTCCTCTGGAATGGTGGCTGAAGCATGAAGGGGCATACGAATGTTTACCATATCTGGCACGTAAATACCTTGCAATGCCAGTGACAAAAGTGCCATGCAAATGCCTGTTCTCACTTTGTGGTGACATTGTAAGTAAGAAGAGGGCAGCACTATTTCCTGTAAATGTAAACAAACTTGTTTGTCTTAGCAATTGCCTGAACAAGAAGTAGGACTGAGTGGACTTATTTATAGGCGCTGAAGTTTCACATTGTTTTGGTTTTGAGTGCAGTTAAGTAACAAAAAAAAAATCTACATTTCTAAGTTGCACTTTCACGACAAAGATATTGCACTACAGAACTTGTATGAGGTGAATTGAAAAATACTATTTTTTTGTTTATCATTTTTACAGTGCAAATATTTGTAATAAAAAAATACACATTTTGATTTCAATTACAACACAGCATACAAAATATATGAAAATGTAGAAAAACATCCAAAATATTTAATAAATTTCAATTGGTATTCTATTGTTTAACAGTGCGATTAAAACTGCGATTAATCGCAATTAATTTTTTTAATCACGATTCTTTTTTTGAGTTAATCGCATGAGATAACTGCTATTAATCGACAGGCCTAGTTTTTATATCTAGAAGTGATGAATTTTGCGTGATTGAAGGACTGATACTGGATCTGGATAAAATTTATTTTAATTTATTAGCCAAAAATGCAATTTGGGTCAACCTGAAACTATTCATGAATTTGACTTAGTTCATTTTGGCTGGGAAAAAGATTTCAGGGTCAGTTTCAGAAAGAGTGCATGTGTTTGTCCATGTGTCCCTCATAACCTTTAGTCCAGTATTTAGGGCATTTGCAAGGCAGGTGAGAGACCAAGATTTGAACTGCCATTCTGGAGCAGGGATTTCTACGCAAGTCTCCTTCCTGGCCCAGTGAGTTCCCTAACCACCAGGCTATGGACTATTGTAGATGGGCTGCTCTCAATCTCTCTTGTTAAAGCTGTTCCACTTTGTATAAATACTTACATTTTCAGTGGGACAAAGTGAGATACTGAACTTGACTCTACAATCTGGTGATTAAGGCAATTACCTGGGAGATAAGAGACATGGATGCAAATCTTCTCTCCCCCTGATTCAGAGGAGGAACTGAATTTTTTGGACTCAAATCTAATATTTTTTCTGATTTTTCGGTTTGCTGGGCATTCTGCGTTCCCCCCATTACAACCCCAAAAATCAGTCATCTGCCCTGCTCTAATTGTTACAGCAAAAATCTCAGATATTCACTCTTTTTTTATTTACAGATCAGTCCTCAGCTTCTGTGAGCACAGAGAAGGTTTAGCTAAAATTCCTATATTTTAAATAGAGACTGGAAATACTGTAGGAGAAAATACTGAATTAGGGGAAATTCTCCTCTGTTCTTTTCCTTCTGTTTGGAGATTTAAATTCTTTCACAGTTGCCACATTTGAAAGAAACTTATTCTTTGTCCCCTAAATGTCTGGTCTCTATTTATTTGCTAAATACAATACCCTGTAATAGTTATATACTGTAATGTATTGTGTTTCTGGTAGGCTTCTTACTCTAAAAGTAACTGTATTGTCTACATCTATTGTATGCACTACCCACAAGTCACATCTGTATAATTATTCTTTCAGTGCCAGGAATTAGGACAATGCTGCTTTGATCTGTGGGCTGACTGTACTGCTGTCCCCTGAATAAAACCTTGCATGCTTTATTTGTTCAACTCTATCAATACTGGTGTAGAACTGTTGCTAGTAACAGTATCAGCCATTCTGCAAAAGGACATTGAGGGAAAGACATCTCTAAATATGTTTCAGTAATAGTATAAAACTTCTGAAAACAAATCAGATCCTTTAACTTCTTTCGTTTGACCTTGCTAGATACATTTTTATTAATTTTATTTATAGGCATTATGGCATTCCCAGATATACAAGCTGGATGTCTGAAAATATTAATGAATTAAGCTTCACAAGTAAGCTCCTTATTTCCATTTTATTAATGGGGAAACTGAGTCACGGGGCAATTAAAAATGACCTGCCCAGGATATTACAGTAAGTCAGTGGGAGAGTCCAGATTTCTCATCTGTGCTCTGTGTCTTGGAAACAAAACCACTTCTTCCTTTATTCCTTGTTTCCTAATTTTTCAGTTTATATTTCTGCCATCAAAGAGCTAATATAGCATATGTATACATACTTCCCATTGACCACTAAGTTCTACCAGTTTTATTTCTCATCAAGGTATATTAGGAGGCAAATTTGGCATATCATCATGGAGCAGAGAGCAAAGATAGTACAAAGTGTCTAACTGCTTCACTCTATTAAAAAAAAGGAACCTATTATGCTGAAATAACTGAGGGAGGGAGAAAGTATTTTTCCCTAAAGAAAGTAATACTTTTTAGAATTCCTAGCTTTTAAGATGAATGTGTGAAAATCAACAGTTTAAACAACACTACTAATTGGAGAAAAACAACAACTGATAAGTTTATGAAAAATTTAACCATATAGTCTTGCACTTACCATCACTGTAGCAGCTGCAGCAGCTGCTTGAGCTGCCACTGCAGCCTGGTTGGCTTGATGTTGAGCAGCTTTGATTTTGGCCTGCAAATGTGCAGGAGGGTGAAAATATTTGCATTTCTCCCTCATGCAACGCCCCTTTATGTAATCCATACAAACGGTTACAGTGTTGTCATTTGTATCAATCATTGTGCTATCTGCAGGATGTGCAAAGCGGCAGTCAGTCTCTCCCCGCGCGCAGTTTCCTCGCTGGAATTCCCTGCATACCTATGTGCAAAACAACACTAATTACAGCTGATGGACTCAACAATCTTAACTGGGAAAAACAAAACAAAAAACCACATACACAGCTCATTCTTTACTGTGTTTTAGACTTGTCCCACAGTGTTTGCAACAGTTCTTTACATGTTTGTTAAATATGTTTACCTGCTCTTAATTAAGTTGCAATTAATATAGCTGTGTTGTTTGATAATAAGTTGAACTTACATAGAACTGTGTCATTTCAAAAAATCTATTCTTGCTCACCAACACAAAATCCCTATGAATATTGCTCAGTGTTTGTCAATTAACTGCTCCTGTGGACCCAGTTACTTTCTCTATGAAGAAATTCATAATGACAAAGCTGTAGTTTAAAATCTTTTGTTACCTTCGATGTTGACTAGGCATATTAAATTTGAGCAATCAACTCTAGAACACATTCACTGAATTTTTATCCAAACCATATTAAAAAAAATTATGACACTAAAACAATGGTACCATTTCCACTAAGTGTAAGTGTAAATCCTACAAGAGTACTTATGAGGTCTATATTTTAATAACTAAGGTTTAGGCTCTATTAGAGAGCGCTTCTAAGGGCAACAAAGCTCGTCAAAGCTTTTACATATAAATTAGCAGAAAATTACATTTCTAGTCACAATGGTGTCTGTAGTACCTCCAGTTTATCAGTCCTCAAGAGTTTCTGAGTAGCAGTCGAACCAGGAACTGTGACAGGGGGACTTCCAGGAACAATGACAGGCGGTGTGGGTAGTATTTCAGTAGGAACTAATCCAACTCCAGGGGTTACAGGTGTTAAGTAAGGAGCAAAGCTAATAGCTGTGTTCGTTCCTATTGTTGGACCCACTGGAAATGTGGGCTGCAAAATGAAAACACAGTGAGATGAAAAATAAATAGGTAACCTTACATTGAAACAATTTTTTTAAAAGTTCGCAGATCCTATTTGATGTCTTTTGTATGTTTTCCCTAGTTTTGATTCATTTTCTTAATCAGAATTTAAAAGAGTTGACAACATTACATTTACACTGCGTATCTTCTTCTCTTGAACATGGAATACAGCGGTTCTGAAACTGGGGTCTGCGGACATGAGTCATGTCCAGGGCTGACGGCCCCACTGATCAACTCCTCCTCCTCCCTCCCAGTTCCTCCTGCACACCATGGAACAGCTGTTCAGCATCGTGCAGGAGGCGCTGGGAAGGAAAGGGAGGAGTGGGAACAGGGCACGCTCGGGGGAGGGAGCGGAAAGAGGAGGGGCAAGGCTGGAGCGGGAAGAGTTGGAGTGGGAATGGGGCCTTGGGGGAAGGGGTGGAGTGGGGACAGGGCCTGAGGATGAGCGGAGGTTGAGCATCCCCGGGGAAAATCAGAAGCCATTTGGGGGGGGGGGGGGCGCAAAATTTTTTAAATCAAAATGGGGGTCCTCAGGTTGCTAAAGTTTGAGAATCGCTGATATAATACATTCCAGTGAAGGACAGGAACAGCATTTTGCAGTCATATTATGAGAAAAGGGGTTCTCAGTGCATCTACACAGGTCAGCTATAATTTGAATCTGGATATCTATTGAGATTACTGTTCATATTACATTTCAGATTTATTTATACATCTCAAATAAAATGCATCCTATTTCTACTGCTTTCTCTTTCTATCCGCTTCCCTGGTAAAACTGAATTTTACAGGTAAAATGTTATTCAGTATATTGAATCCATCTTTGTAATAATAGTATACATTATATAAGCTCTTTCACACGTTACATCTATCACTTTGCATGCTGTATTTTGTATTTGTATACAATTTAAGTTACTGTGCCTATGACATGTAAAAACTGGCCTGTGCAATGTTTATGTTATAATCAACTGCCACCTATGGCAAATGGAGCATTTATTATTGGGCCCAATATTTAGGTTGTGATCTTTTCAGGTTGATGGGCTGTGGTAGTGAGATTAATCTCTCTAAGCTTAGCCAATCAAAATCCTTTGAGGGGTGGGAATGATATGGGTCTGAAATTATGTTTCACAACCATTTAAAGCAATGTAATGCAATGAAGCTGTATCAAGAGGAAGAAGCAATTCTGTGATGCAGAAATCCAGTTCAGATGAAGCAGGATAGCAGATTTGCTACTACATATTCCATAGGGTCGGGAGTCAATGCAGTACCATGGTCAGGATTGGAAAGGTCTTTTGTAAGCCTGCAGTGTTGATGTTTGCTAGAGGCAAACTATAATTACAAAATGTGAAAAGAATGTGCATAGAAATGCAGCAAGTCTCAGACTAGTGTAGGCTCTGGACTGATGCTACTGGAGCAGTTGCAGAGATATAATTTGTACCTGCACTCGCTACTGGAATCTACCAGGTTCTTGAACCACCCTATGCAACACTTGCCAGGTCAGAAATGCAGGGTCTGTTATGTAGGACTAAAAGTAAAGCTCCAAAATAAGCTGGCAGTCAGAAAATGCCAAGATGTAGCAGAGCTCTGAAGAGACATTCAGAAAATGTAAAGAGGCAGAGATCTCTTTCTCATCAAGGTGGCCTGTATAGGGTCTATTAGAAGGGCAAGCTAGCCATCAACACTGTATGAAACAGCCTTAGGGGAAAGAATAGGACTCAAAGGGGTTTTAACAGTCCTTGGAGAAAGTTGCTAGTCAAGAATGAGTCCAGCGTAGTCCCCAAGAAGATGTTGAGAGCAGCAGAAGAACCAACCAGGGTACCCAGCTGCAGGAAAAGATAATCTAGTTATCACTCATGCAAAGAGTTAACACTTAAAAAAAATTGTTTTCCCCACTGCACATCAAAAAAATGTGCTCCTGTCCTAGCTAAATACTATCCATAAACTGTAAATCATAATAAGGAAATAATTATAAGAAAAAAAAGGATTCTTGCTATAGCAGCTCTATGCTCAGTTTTTTCACACAATAGCTATTATAAACATGCTACTGCAGCGCAATGTTTAATAGAAAAAATAAAATCTTTGCACTAGATATAATTTCAAGAAGAACCCTACAAGCTTCACTGAATTTTTAGGTATTTCTTTTATACTTTTTATTCCGCTACATTAATGATAATCTACCTCAGCCCACTAGCAGTTTGAGACAGAGAAAAAGAACTTGTTTTTTAGTCTCAGTTGGTAGGTGAAATAATAAAGTTTGAATGATGATTGTATTGATAGAGTGGAGAAATGGAAAGAAACATCTATGTGAAATTTAGGAGATTTCTTTGCTCACATTAGTGACAAGTTTAACCAACATCCTATTACATACAAAATCCCCACTATTTTAAAAGAACATTAAAGGTGCAAAGTCAAAGACAACATAGTTAGAAAATGTCAATTAAGATTGTTTAATTTTGCCCCAGTGCATATGCAGTATGATACATACTTTAATTATACGATCACATACTATTTCTACCGTATTACTCCTGCTTCATTCAAAGCACAGGACGACAGTGCTCAGGAATGAGGTAGCTGTTCAATATTTCCTCATCATTCAGTGTGTAGCCCCTAGGCTTTATTTACTGCACACCGTCCAAACCATGCACTGAAATAAAGAATTGTTAATTGCTTCATGGACTTTTTAATGGTGCTCATCTCTGTAATATTTGGGCACTTCACAAATATTAATGAATACATCTTCACACCTCTTCTGTGAGAAAGAAAATTATTATTATCCCCATTTTACAGATCGAAGCATGGAGAAATTAAAACCATAATGTCCAGAAGTATCCACTAATTTTCGGTGCCTATCCTGAGAGACTTAAGGCCTGATTTTTCAAAATACTTAACATTTTTATATCGTTACCATGATGCTGGCAGAGCAGGTGCCAGCTCATGCCCAGACCCCTAGGACTCACTGAACACTGACAAATGCATAGCTGGAAACCAATCTGGCTCATCTGTGGGTTAGTATTGTTAAAATAGGTATTAGATTTATAAGAATGTGTTTAGACTTTATGGAATACTTGTAGGATGCTGTATGTATTAATCTCACTTTTAACATCTGTACCCCATGTTACAGTAAAACATATCCAGCACTTCACCAACCGGAAAGCTCTATAAATTGGCATTTCTGATCTTCATTGAAATTCCGGTTTATAGTCCGGTTGGCGCAGGTCTGGCAGGGTTGGGGCCCGGGAGAGGGTACGGCGCGCAGGCTTTGGAAGGGAGTTTGAGTACGGGAAGGGGCTCGGAGCACCGGCTTGGGGCGCGGGAGGCCAATGGGAACTGCGGGGGCGGCACCTGCGGGCGGATGCAGCGTGCAGAACCACCTACCCACGCCTCTGCCTAGGAGCAGCCGGGACAGGTTGCCGCTTGTGGGGAGCCGCCCAAGGTGAACACCCCTGGATCTGGCACCCCAAGCCCACTCCCGTGCCCCAACCCACTGTCCTGAGCCCCCTCCCGCACCCAAACTCCCTCCCAGAGCCTGCGCCCTGCACCTCCTCCCGCGCCCCAGCCCTGCACCCAAACACTCTCCCTATTAGTTAACCGGCATTTTTCACTTACCAGCACCCCCCATCCCCCAACATGCCAGATAAAACAGCTTTTACTGTATAAAGTTATAGTAGGTGTTTGAATGGTAATCCTCGGTAATTGTGTAAGTCATCAAACAGGAAAGGAACATTAATTAAATGTAGAAATGCTGGCTTCCTACAGAAGGTGTTAGGTCTGGCCCACCAAGAAGGCCCACTGAAACTAAACGAGCCATTGTGAAACATCGTTGAACAAGAACTCTGTCGATTGCTCCTCCCAACACCCATGTAGAGAAGATGTGCAGGTGGACATGTCCCATCAACCTGAACTCTGGGGGGAAGGGAATAAAAATCACTGATAAGAAAGAACTGTACCTCTAAGCTGCTTGAACTGTAAGGTGCAACGATTTCTAGGCATAAACAAAAGTTCCCCTGGGCTTGGCCTGGGTTAGCCCTAAAGTACATATATACCTTGCATATTACAGCAGCTTCTATTACCCTTTCGGAACATAAGACTGCAACTAATTTGTGCATGCACGTTTACCTGCTTTAACCTTATAAATAACTCATTTCTTTTTCCTAGTTAATAAATCCTTAGATAGTTTATTATAAGATTGGCTACAACCGTTGTCTTTGGTGAGAGATCTAGGGTGCAACTGACTGGGCGTAAGTGACTGGTCCACTGGGAAAACCAAACTTGCTAATATAAACGAGGCTTCATTTTCTTACACCACAAGATCTCTCTGCCTGTCCTATTAAATTTCCCTGTCCCCTCAGTGACCCTCCCTGCTGTCCACTCTCCCTGCTCCCCTCATATTGTCTCCTTTCTCTCTCACGTGTGTGTGAGATTGATATACACACATACACACACGTCTGATCCATGAAGTCAATGAAAGCTGGCTTTGACCCTAAGTGTTCCCACTGGGTCACAATGTGCTTGAGATAAAGCAGTAGCACCCACTCACCTCTAATCTTTATTGTTTGTTACAAAGATGGCCCTGACCTGTTTGAACAGTACAATAGGACTGATCATTTATACACATATACCAAGCTGGTGTTCATGGCTGCAAGGTGCTTGCTTTGTATCTGGATTTGCAGGAAGCGCCCCAGACTGTTTTACGTATGATTTCAAAAGATGGAACTTTTGAAGCTTGTGAAGTCCCATATCATCATTTCTCTTTGTCTACGTCATTCTGGGGCACTTCAGACTTCAAGCTAGGAAGCAAGCACAACCCATGAACACATGATCACTTGTTCTGTTCTGGAAGGGATTAAAGGAACAATTTGAGATGAAAGATTTATTTAAAATTATTAAGCTCATAGAAGTGGGGAAAGAAGACACTGCAATACTACTCAAATGGTTATGGTTGTTTTAACTCTTTCCACTCAAGTGGGGATCTTGCACAAAGCCATTGCAAAACTAACCCAAGGTAGCTGGGTCTCAAAGCCTGAGAGAAAGAAAGTGCGGGGGGTTAGGGGGTGGGAGAGGTAGGGAGGACAGAATGGGTGAGGCCGAGATAGGGAATGGGGGATGCGCCACATCTATGATGACACCTCAGCACGCAAATTTAATTTTGTGCATATTTTTCAGCATTTCTGTACTTCACACAGTCTCTACATAGCAATTTATTTTCATTGACAATGAAAGTAGTAAGGTGTTTAGAGGCCATTTTCAGGTCAACCCAATCTCACATCTGAACTTTAATTACCCACCACATCATTTGAAAAAGGATACTTACCATTGGCTGAATTGGTGATCCTGGAAACATGAACTGCATCTGCTGGGCAAGCATTGCTGCTGCAGTTTTCTGTTGGATTAAGTTGTTCCTGCCATTAATTTCTAGTTGAGTTTTTAAATGTGTTGGTGGATGAAGATACTTGCAGTTCTCTCTTGTACAACGACCCTGCAAAAAATTATATCAGTTGCTTTATAGCTTTGAATGGCGGTTTGGTGTCTCAAAGCAAAATATTACACCATCAATTAAGCAACAAAAATTGAGTTGCAAGGCATTTCCTTGGAATTAAGTGACTAGATAGGAGGAGATGACAGTTTACAGCTGTGCCTCAGGCCAGTAACTGTAGTTGGTCACTAATGTTATCAACTGAAAATTAAAAAAAACAGGCTAATTTTAGAAAATGATTGAAGGTATGTTAATTGGTAAATACAGGACATTGCTACAGAATTAATACCCTGAATATTAGCCAGACTGCTTGAATTTCCTCTCAAGATATCCTGATCATGGCCTCTGATGTTACCACAATATAAATGTTAATAATTAATATTAATAGATTTAACATTTTAATTTAAAACAAAACATAGCTTTTAAACACTGAATATTAAATGTATGTTTGCAGAACTACAAGTCTTAATATTAGTAATTTTCTTTGTGCTTCCACTCCATTGTATTGTTGCTCCTTTTCGACTTGAACAGCTAGTCAAATTTAGGGATTCTGTGCGGGTTCCAGTTGGATGTAGGATTTGGTGATAGGTATTTCTTTGATGCAGTTTTGTTTCTTTACAAAGAATATACAAAGTCCTATGTCTCTGAAACAGGAGGAAACAATAGCAGGAAACAGATTTTTTTTTCTTCACAATTAGGATTGGAATGATTAGATTTTTATCGGTAAATGTCAATAAATGTCAATTTCACCATACATATACAAATGTTGGAAAAAATATTTCCATAGATCATCACAGAAATTTACAGATAGTCAAAGAAAGAAAAATGCTGCTTGAGAACTTCTTAGAGTTTGATTTAAGGATATTTATTTTGTATATTTTGGCATATAATGTTGATAATTCGTGTTTCAATGGTTTTAAAGCTTTAACTTTTTGAATCTCAATGTCATTAAATAATTATTGTCCAACTCCCCCCATATCTTTGTACAACTGAAAATTTAAAATCAATAAAAAGGAAAAAAAAAAAAAAGCTTTAAACTAAACATTGATATTATCCGTCAAAATTATAAAAAATAAAAAAAATAAAAAATGAATTCTGCAAGGAATAAATGCATGCTATCGGCAATCCCAGCAGTACTGAACTAGTTAACTGTAAAGGACAGATGTGGAAACCAGTAGGAAAATTTCAAAGGGAATTTCAGAACTGGTAGTTAGTGGAATGCCTGGAATGACAAAGAAAGGCTCTCAGAACTCCTATACAATGCTTTTGATAATTGTCACCAGAGTGGTGTCTTCCCACACTTGACCTACTGCAGACTGCAGCTTACCAACCGCAATAGATCCCTTATTCAGCCATATCATGCCACTGGTTTTAAGCAGATTTCCACATTAAGAACAATGGGTAGTTTGCCTAAAAATCAATGGCACAAGACAGCCCAGTGTTCTTACAATGCTTTTTAAATGTAAGGTACTATGTAAGTGCTTAGAATTATTACTTTAAAATAGGTTAAGTGAAACTAATGCAGAAATTAAAAAAATTCTATAGCTGTGTACAGTAAGATTTTAAATCCACACATCCTGTGCACTCTTTTGCCATTCCTGCATTATGTAAAATTTGGGAAGGCAGCAATCTTGTTTAACTACAGTATCAGTCTCCAAAGTAACAGGGCATTAACTCTACACATCAATATATTTATGTTTCAGTCAAAGAGCTGGTACAAGGAGGAGGGTCAAATCACTCTCTGGTTGAAGGTAATGTTGAGATCACAGCTCTGATGCCAATTAAAGCAGTTTCCCTCAAATTATTTGTGATTGGGTGATCAGCCAGTCTCTTTCCCTCCCAATCACAGGATTACATGAAATATTCCAATACAATTCTAGATGAAACAGCTTGTTACATTTAACACTCAAATGACAAATTTAGGTGAAAATAACATTATTTCACAGGATTAAACATACAACTCCTAACCTATGAGATGTGTGTGACATCTCTTCAAGTATATCTAAACTGCAATTAAAAACCCATGGCTGGCCCATGCCAGCTGACTCCAGCTAATGGGACTCAGGCTAAGGGACTGTTTAATTATGGCCACAGACATTCGGGCTCAGGCTCTAGGATCCTGGGAGGTGGGAGGGTCCCAGAGCTCAGACTGCAGCCCAAGGCCGAACATCTATACTGCAGTTCAACAGCCCCTTAGCCCAAGCCCCACAAGCCGGAGTCACCTGACATGGGCCAGCTGCTAGTGTCTAACTGCAATGCAGAAATACCTTTAGACCAGTGGTCTCCAAACTTTTTTGATCGCGCACCCTTACCAGTAAAACAACTTTGAGCACACACCTGCTGCTGCGCCGAAGCAAAAAAAATAAAATAAAATAAAAACTCTCACTCCCACCCAAACTGCCAAAGCAAACAAACAAACAAAAAAAAGTCACTCGGACTCCCGCCCGAACTGCCGAAGGGGGGAAAAAAAACCCCAAAAACGCTCCTCCTGCCGCGCACCGCCAAGGATCCTCTTGCTCACCCCACTTTGGAGACCACTGCTTTAGACAGCAAGGCTGTTTAACCTAGGGGTATTTTAGGTATTTGAGGACTTATTCAATAGCACCATACCTTCTGTGGGGTTTAGCCACACGCTCCTATTCACACATGCCCACAACCAGCTACCTGCTGGAGTTAAAAACAAGTTGAGAATGCTGGGGCAGAGGCATCAATCTAGAAATAAAAAATGACCCCCCCCCAAAAGTTGATGTTGTGACTCTTGTGGTGTCATTTAGCCTCAGGAAGCTGGTACAGTAAAAGCGGTGTTAGGCAGGCCTGTACCAGCCAGAATGCTCTATAAACCGGCATTTCTAATCTTCATAGAAATTCCGGTTTATAGTCCGGTTGGTGTTGGGCCAGCAGGCTCCCTACCTGGCTCTGCATGGTTCCCCAGAAGCAGCAACCTGGCCCTGCTGTTCCTAGGCGGAGGCATGGCTAGGTGGCTCTGTGCGCTGCCCCTGCCCCGTGTGCTGGCTCTGCAGCTCCCATTGGCCGGGAACCGCGGCCAATGGGAGCTACGGGGGTGCTGCCCGTGGGCAGAGGCAGTGCGCAGAGCCGCCTAACTGAGCCTCTGCCTAGGAACAGCAGGGACAGGTCGCCGTTTCTGGGGAACCGCCTGAGGTGAGTGCCCCGCGGATCTGGCACCCTCAAACCCCTCCCGTGCCCCAACTCCCTGCGCCGAGCCTCCTCCTGCACCCAAACTCTCTCCGAGAGCCTGTGCCCCGGACTCCCTCCCATGCCCAAACTCCCTTCCTCTTAGTTAACCGGAATTTTTCACTTACTGGCACACCCCATTCACCCAACATGCTGGATAAAAAAATCTTTTACTGTACATGGACTGAAAAGCTCGGCTCGTGCTCGTATCAGCTCTAGGATTGCCAATTTTGGTTGGATGTATTCCTGGAGATTTCATCACGTGACAATCTTTAATTAAAGATTAATCTTTAATTCCTGGAGACTCCAGGCCAATCCTGGAGGGTTGGCAATCCTAATCAGCTCAGATATTTTATGGCAATGGACTTGCTGGCTGACTAGAGGCTACTTGCTGATAGATATTGAATCTTAGATGTGGCACGTTGTTGGACCCCCATTCTTCACTGGCCAGTCAGCGGGTTGGAGAAAGCTAGAGGCCTCTTTGTCAAGTACAGTGACATCACATGGCCAATGGCCACAGTAGCAGCAATGACAGCAGCCTTTGCAGGCAAATGAGCCAAACAGGCTAACAAGCGAGAAGTGAAGACCCACAAGCCTTTCCTTCAGTTTTTGAAGCTGGTAGCCTGTTTCCTCCCCCTTGGCACTGAACCCTCCAGAGTTCCTAGGTAAATCAGAATGGGGCACTCGCCTTCTGGCATTACCCAGTGTGGTCTGATTAGGTCACCTTTTGGCAAATGAAGAACTTCTCCATTCCAGTAATTCTGAGCTAGGAAAATCCCTGGATCAATATAATATCCCCAAATCAGTCAGTCAACAGGTCTGTAGGTGCTTTGTGACAGCTGAGGTTTACAGGCCAGTCCACAGGTATTACACCTTGACTATTCTAAAATGTCCCAACACAAAAATAACTTTAAAGATGCAATGCTACCACAGTATTGACAATTTTTTCATGAGCAACGGGATTTTGGAGGGTTCTGGAGCTCGTCTCGCGATGCTGCAAGAAGCTCCATCCCCCTCTCGAAGTTCAGCGCTGCCGAAAGCCAGCAGAGTCCCTCCCCTCTGCTCACTGTTCTCACAGCAAGGGAGGCAGGAGGAGGAAACACAGGGCTGCAGCTCTCCAGGCCTGAGAGAGGAAGGTGAAAAGCCCTAGGAGGAGCAGAGGTGAAGCTGGGGACTGAACTGGGGGTGGGGCTAAAGGGGGAAATGGGGGACAGTATTAATTGCTGGGCAGGGGGTGGGTAGATGTGGGGATAAGACCTCCTGCAGCAGGAGCCACCATCACGTTACCCAGTATATTTAGAAGTGCGGGCAACACTAATTACACTGCTCTACAGCCAAAATGCTTCTGAAATAAATGTAGTCAAACGTTACTAATTCTGGGTCACTGAGAACGAAAATGATGCTTAAAATTGTTGATTGGCTCTAGTTTTCAAGATATGCTATTGGGTCAGTATATACGACCCTTGACTTGGGAATGGCGGAGGATAAGTGAGTTATAAAGGGAAGGGATCTCAATTTAAACCAGAAATGACTAAAATACATCTTTGACTGGATCTATGAATAAATCTATGACTGGGTTTGGACAGTACTTGCTTTTTAGGCAAAACAATGAATGATGCAATCTGAAGCTGGTATTGCATCATACATGATATGAATTGCATCATGTTATTCCTAGAAGTCATGGATGATGCAATCATAAAGAAGCTTACATCACTCTGCTGAACAAATTGCCCTATATCAGCTCTAGAAATCATACAGTGTCGTGCTCTCTTCTTTGTCAGTGTTTGATTTTGCAAAGGGATACATTTCTG